CACCTTCTCATGAAAGAATGATTTTAGAGTTTATGTGAAGACTTTTGCCATCTCTTCTTCCTTCCTAGAAAGATTGACTTGGGTGGCAACCAAAGATTTAACCAAAGCAGTTAGATATCCCATATCAGCAGCCCTCATAGTCATAGCTCTCATTTCCTCTTGTTGACGAGCCATATTTCAAATGATCTTCATCAACTGGTCAACTCGAGTATCCATCTTAATACCCATAGCCATAACATCTGCTTGAATTTTTTCCATCTGCCTCTTGGAAGTGCTTCGAGTATTATAACGATGAAAATTTGTGGTAGCAATCTCTGTAAAGAAACCCGAATCAAAGATAAGAAAACCTATCGTGACCACCTGTCATGATATGGTATGCATAGATGAATGGTTATGCATGAAGTGTTTTATCATTTCCAGGAGAATCCTGTGGTGTTTCATCAAGCATCAATAAATAATAGGATAGACAACAAGATAAAATGGAACAAAGGCAAAGTATCAGAGTAGAAACTGCTCATATCATAGAGTCGAACAAACATCCATACGGTAGTGATTTAGTACAAATAGATTCAATTATTAAAGAGGCCCCATCCAACAAGACTGGCGGTGACCTTGTCGATCGAAACAAGCATAAAAGGTGAGTATAGTAAAAATTTCTCTTTAAGATCAACTATTCAGCTAATCATCTTCAGAGAAAGGGTCTCCAGTCACAAAGCCCCTCTTCTTTACTAGCGCCAACAAACAATGATATTTGAGTTACCAATCCTCAGAACCTATATTTCCCACCTCGGCTTCTTCTGCTGGAATCTTGTCTTTATTTGCTACCTGGGCTTTGATTGTTGTCAACTCTTTCACAACTTGAGTCAAGCGAACATCTTTCTCTCATAACTTTTTCTTTAAAATCTTAACCTCCTCGCAGTTCTTAGCTTCCAATTCCTTTTTAGCCAATTGAAGATTTTATATCTCCTAATGACTAGCCTGTAGCTCTTCAAGCTGTCGACTGGCGGTATCAAAAACCTCGACCCTAAGTCTCTTCCACCGCACAAGCAAACCATGTTTTCTAGCAACTGGTGCTTCAGCTTAACCTTCTTCGTGAGCTTCTTCTTATCTTACAAAGCAAATGAAATATCCACATTCATTTCTTCCTGCCTAGCCTGGAGTTTGAGGTTTTCGGCCTTGACATTCTTAAAACGCATTACAGGCACAAACTCTAATCCTTCTGTGATAGGCTGAACAGGGAACGAATCAATGTGGAATAAAGAATTGTCCGCCTGAGCATCCATTAATGGGTCAAAATCAGGTTGAGGATATAGAAACCTCCCATTTTTATAAGGTAACCACACTTCCCTCACACGATCCTGAATCCAGCTCGTATAAGTATCATAAGCTATGCTTCCATTCTGGCTGAAAGAAAGTTTCCCTTTGCGGCGAATATGCCCCCATGCTATCTTCACCTTTACAAGCAACACTGCATTTTCCCCTTTACCGAAATAAATGGTATCCATCACCTCCCGCTCATCGGGTCTATCTAACATCGCGAATCCTAATTCACGGTGTGCCAGGATAGGGTTATAATTAATGCAGCCTCTAGTCCCCATAAGCGGGACATTAGGGAATTCTCCACACCCTATAATGATATCTTTCAAACCTATCACGCTTTTCCAAACAATATCATACAAGGTGAGTCCCATGATACACTGAGACCATAAAGACGAATCAGCATTATGAACAAAAGGCCCTTTTGTAGGCATATGCATCATCAACCATTTATAAAGCGCGATCACGCAACACATGACTTCCCCTTTTTTCCCATGTCGGGAATGGATGGTGTAATAAGTGTCGGCAAGTAGAGTTGGTACTGGGTTACCATTCATGAAGACACATAATGCGGATACATGAACCAACTTCTCGGACACTGGAAAGAGGACCAAACCATAAATCATTGCTGCCAGCAGTGCATTAAATGCGGTCCAATTCATATCCTTTGCAAAACCCTTGGCCTTTGACATCAATTAATTCAGAGGGAGACCGCTCGTGTCAATTTTGTTAATCCAGTTACTTTTAACTTCACCATGAGTCAAATAAAGAGCTCTGGCGATCTCCATATAGTTCGGAGTCTCTGGTACTCAGACAAAAGGTATACCGTTGGTCACCTTGATATCCATAATGTGTGCATATTATTCGATAGTTGGTGCCAATTGATAGTCTCGGAAAGTAAAACACGCAGTTGCGGATCATAGAAATGAAGAAGTGTTCTCACGGCCCACTCCTTAAGATCATCTATCACCAATGGCAGTAAGTTTCCATATTGTCCTCTGAAAACTTTTTCATTTGGTCCCTTCACAAGAGCTCCCACCTCTCGCAATCGGCCACCAAAGCATGGAAACTGATAAGCAGCAGTGTTTCTAAGAGGCTTTGAGCTTGTCTTCATGTTATTATCCATCTTTAATGCTAATGACAGACCTTAGAATAATCCTAGAAATGAAATGCAAATGCAGGTTAGGTAGTTATATATTTTTTTTTTTGCGTTTCTTTTATAAAATAAATATGCCCTGATGCAATTGCAATAAACATAAGATAAAAGTCTCCACAATACTGAATAGCTGCTGAACTAATAACAAAACCATTGTCATATGTAATAAGATCAAAGGTCCGGACCAATTCAGAATACCAAGGATCAAAGTCATCAGTATAATCAGAGTCACCAACTGAACATGTATAGTCACCATTTGTACCTGTAAAGGTTATTCCCTCCCCACTCACGGGTAAAGACTTGGTCATGGTAAGGTCAATGGTAACTCAGAATCGAGGGTACTCCTGAAAAACTATCACCATATCACCTACATGAAAATGATAGCCCCTCATTTGTACCTCATTTGAGCGTGGACGACATGGCGGCATAGTGAAACCTAAGTCAATTAGCCATTCATGTTCCACTCTATTCCTAGTGTTCCTGTGGTTGCCACTTGGCCTGGGTATTGGGCCTTTTACCTCATAGTAACTCCCACCCAACAAAGAAACAGGGAAACCAGCACAACAACAATATAACAAATAACAATAAAGATGCAATGCAAACATATTATCAAACATATACAAATGAATAATCCATAAAAGCATAATGATAAACACCCTAAGAAAAGAAAAACAGGAGCTAGCATTGACTCACGGGATGGACCAGCAATTGGTCGACATGACACTCCCCAGTGAAGTCACCATTTTTATGTAGCGGTAAAATCCATGAAGTCGCCACCGAGTATTTATTTATCCCATAAAAGGGAAAGTAAAATCATCGAATAAAAAACTAAAGGGGGAAATCAAGGTCTTGCGACCGAGAGATTGGGTAAGGGAGTCATTACGCGAGGGGAAGGTATTATCACCCCACACGTCTATAGTACTCTACGGGATCCACTCTCGTTATTCTAATCAAAGGGTATGTTCAATCTAATGCTTAAGAGTTATAAACTAAGAGGGAATGCATGCAAAGAAAACACGGGGAAAAGAAGGAAGTATTTACAATTTTTGCTCGGTTGAGCCCCGTGACCAGATGCCTACGTATCCTCTTTAAGGAATCAGAGCGCCGTAGTTCGGCTCACATATTTTGTTTGTTTTTATTTTTTAAATGAACAATGTTGCATTCGATAATTCCACCGCTGCTCGACCTTTGGAGACTTATGACCTGTAGTGGAAAGGAGCTAACATGCTCTTAGAAGATAAAAGCTGAATGGCGAAAAGAAATGGATTGGTTGGTATTTTTTACCATGAAAATAATTTTTTTGTATGCTTAGCATTTTTTATTCATTTGCCAAGAAAAAGCAGTTTTAAATGTGATTATGCAAAAATGGGAAGAAAACATCTAAGGGAGACTAACCTATCTCTAACCTAATGTTATCACACAATGAGGGATTCTATCTAAGTTAGCACGCCAAAGAAAGTCTAACAAACTATCCTATAGGGAACATACAATGAGAGCGAAGTCGTGATCTCAATTTCTAAATTGAGTGACTCATCGATCAACAAGAAATAAAGGAAAACGATAAAATCCTATAGGGAGCATGCACTGAGAGCAAAGTCGTGATCTCAATTTCTAAATTGAGTGACTCATCGATCAACAAGAAATGGAACAAACATAAGCACAACACATATAAGAAATGAAGTGCGGAATGCCTGCTACAGGTCTTTAAACAGCGACTTTGAGCGCACGCTCTTTATTTCCTACTTCTTATGATATCTAGAAAGTGATAAATGCGGAAGTATAACTTGGAAGCAGTATAATACCAAACGAACAATAAATTCCGCAAAAAGCGCAACAAAAGGAAATAGACTCGGAATACTTTGCACGAGCTGGAATCAACAAACAAACAATCAGATATTGAATATTCGGAAAATGTGTCGAAGCTTCATCGATGTGAAAATAAATCACGATTAAAATCTAAACACCTCCACTTACCAAATAATGAACCTGCATAAGACTCAACTCAACAAGCAAAGGTGATTCACAGGTTTCAAGTAATCGAACATTAGGAATTAATTTCCTATAAATCAAATGAGAAATCTAACAATTTTTATTGATTTTTGTAGTTTATTACACCAAAAAAAAGCAATCCTAAAATGTGTATTTTTTATTATTTTCTATTATATGTATTTTATTTATTATTTTTTGTTATGTAAAAAAAACAGAATTTAAAACTAAATAAAAAAACAAGGCATAAAAGAACAAGGAATTAGAAAGGGGCCAAGGGGTGTAGGTTCTGAATCAGAAGGTGAGATCAGCAATCCAGGCGCATAGGCCCGTCAGTTTGAATTAATAATGTTTTTTTTACCAAAAAATCTACTCACCAAAAAGAAAGGATACTGGGCTTATAGAGATTTACGCTTGGTCCGCTAACACAAACAACATCCAATTCAGTTCAATATATCATTATTTGACTTCATTAAGGAAAGAAATAATATGGAAAGAATCCAATGGGTATGTTGCGTTTGGCCAGTGATAGGGTTAACAAATGTGCCTCTTCAGCTCGCACGATCTTCTTCTTCATAGAGCCAAAACGTGCCGCTCGCAAATTGTGTTATCTCCGCTGTCGACTTCAATCTCCGTTCAGACGCGATGCTCCGATTTGCTTCGCTATCAACATCTCCGCCTAATTCACCACCGTGTCTCACTTATCCTCTTCAAATGGAGGAGCACACCTCCTTCTCTGATCAAAAGTCATCACGAATCTCCATTGAGACAGCACATCATATCAACACCACCGTGTCTGCCATCATCTCCCTCCTCTCAACTCATACTTCGCCAGAAATCGCTCCGTCGCGCCGGAGGCGGAGAAGCTTCGACAATTACCAAAAAAACCTACATCTCCCTCTTTGTCATCTTCCCTGAGTTCGATTCTAAACCCAGTTTTCGCCAATTTTTGTTCATCCATTTCAGATCTAAACAAAAAAAACTTGAAACCCTAGATTCCCAAAATAAATTTTAACGGAGAAATCAAAGAATTGAGGCTCGAAACCTCGGGACTTCGTATCAGCACATCTTATCCTACAAAGCGTTGTGAAGAAGTATAAGAAACGGCGAAGGAACAATGGTTGGAGGGCTTACCAACTGGAGAAGTGTGTGATGCTAGTTAACAATGTCAAAGAAGCGGAAAACCAGAGAATCCTCAGTGAGATATCAGGTAATAACCAGTGTCCACTGATTCTTCTTTTCTTCTTCTTCTTAATACTTTCTGCATACGTTCTTCTTCTGAAATTTCTTGTGATTTCAGATCTTTCTACTCTATATGTTCTTGCAGATGAAGAGTGAATCGTTAATGACGAAGATGCAGAACTCTTGACGAAGATGGTGATTCAAGGTTGAATCGACAGAGTTGCAGAGGGAAGGTTGAGAGAGTTTTTGAAGGTTGAAGCATTGATGCAAAGAAGATGGCAAAGGTGTAATAATGATGAAGGATGAAGCAGGTTGAAGATACAGAGGTCTAGAAATGGATGATGATCGAGGAGTGAAGTGTTGTGCATTCAGAGAGAGATCGAGAGAATCAAAGTCCCCCCAAATCATAGTTAGTTGAAGTTAGTTTTAACATTTCTGTTTTATGAAGTTGGTTGTTATTCTGTTAGCTTTTTCAAACTGTTAGCCATTTTGTTAGAAAATCTCCCCCTCTTCGTTCTGATTTCTGTTAGGCTCTTTCTGTTTTATTTCTATTATGAATGAAAGGCCCAAATTTATTCAGTCACGGATCCATTATGCTGTTTAGGAACTGCTGAGCTGTAACTTTTTGATTTCTGAGTGATTTCCCTTTTTTGTATTCAAATGGCTTCTTTTCTCATTTTATGACTTCAGATTGCAAGGCTAATCGTGCGAACTGGTTTTTCCTTTGAACTATTATATTAACCTGGTTTTCTTTTGATGAAATATTTCCAATACAATTTTTGTACAAATGTTTTTCTGTTTTGCGCGCTACAGCTTGCCTTCTCTGTTTTATTTATTTCAACCTTGATGTTATATTTTTTAGTTTGTTGATATAGCCACCGTAATCAAGTCCTACAAGCCTTTGCTTAGATACACAATCCAGACTTAGCATTCTACCGCAGCATGCGAGAAAGGGGCGAGCATAATCAAGTGTATGAAGACCAATTAAATCTGAATTCAACAATCCCTTTAGAATCTTATCCCAACTGAAAACACCACTTAGCAGTATCAATATCTCTTTTAGCCTGCCAAGGCTACATGTTTTTCCTCTCTATTAATTCTTGATGTAATGGCAAGGCAACAGTTGTATTTAGTAATAGTGCTACAGATGTTTTATTTGCTAATGAAATTTAGTTTGCAATTTGAATGTCGTTGCCTATGGACTTACGAAATTTGACTAAATGATGCTGAATTTGGACAATTTGTGTACATGTTTTAGCAACATTCACTTAAAGCACATAATGACCAAACTTTAGCATTACCACTTTGGTGACATGAATGTAACACAAAGGCTAAACAAGAATGGGCATTGTTGAATGATGACATGAAACCTTAAGCTTTGAAGTTGAAGCCTTGAATTTTTTTTAAAAAAAGGTCTTGAAACATACTTGGATGACCTTGAATAAGATGACTTGGAATGAATGAATGGTATCGAATGAATGCACTTTTGAACTTGAATAATGGATGATGAGTATGACTTTGAAAAAGCTGAACAATGTTCCTGACAGTTGAAATTGAATCCATCTGAACTTGCAATCGAGTAATCAATACAAAACTTTGCACATTTAAGATTTTAAATGAATACTTGCAAAACCATGAGGTATGCCTTGATCACGAAGAAATCTCAAATACACCTTTTATGTCATGTTCGACCAATGAAACTCATTTTCAATTGAATTTCAAATTCAAGAAGCCCGACAAATGCCATTTGCAAGATTGATGAGATACTTATTCATAGCTTAAGTAATAAGAAACATCTTGACTTAATGAAAACTCCTACCAATCCTTAATCCTATAACAAGTAACATCACCAGAAATAAGTCCTTGACTAAATCCTCTGAACTTCTTGAAAGAAATATTTGTAGGTACAATGATTAGGATAAACTCTAATTGATGATGAACCCATAATGGAGAGAGAGTAATGCTCAATATAGCCTTGAAGTGAGATCTCAATACAATAAACCTCCCTGGAAGAACAACTATCAAGAACGAAATAAAGAGAACTCCTGATTCTCTGACTGAGTTAAACCCTAATGCACATATTCTTCAAAAAACATTTTGATGAAGAAAACTTTGTCTCTTGAAGATTCTTGCCAAGAAAATATCTATGATGCTTTTGGATCCAAGTCCCTAGTTTTATAACAAGAGTAATGAGAGCACCCGTTGAATCAGCTTGAAGAATGTAATGACCTTAGTCCATAAAGAACAACCATAATGCCAAACTCTTCGATCCTGTAACCATGGGACCAATGCTATGCGTGAGATGTACAAAGTATGATGAGGGATGTTAGGGGAAAAAATTATGGTATAACACACACAAAGAAGATAATTCGTTAGGTTTAAGCTTGTATGGAGTCTCATCGGTAAGTACCCTCTTGAAGTTTAGTTGGCTCAATTTGTCCTAGTTAATAGTAACCGGGTTCTAAGGAATCTCAATATCATTGATTTGTCTTCTCGGGCATTGTTTCAGCGCAAGCCTCTTTCACGGCGACCGAAATATCCCGAAAGTAAAACCTCAATGAGTGTAGTATTGAGTATCTACCAACTTCAGACTGCAACAAAGTCGGTCATATCACTACGTCCTAATGGATAAGTTGGTCAAGTCAAGGTTCTAAAGTCAGTTAGTGCTTCATGACATCAGCCAGCGGCCCCATATTCTCCTTGACTACTCAAGGGGTACCGGTACCCACAAATATGTCACACTAATGTAACTATTACTTAGACCATGTTGGTATACCCCGCACAGTTTCCACAATGTATTTCTACTTACCTATAAGGCATCCCAAATCCGGGTAGAGGATTTAAGCCCAAACAAGGAACCAAAATGTAAAGAAATCAAATCAAACAATGAAAGCAAATAAAGGTGATCTAGCCCTAAGGTAACCCCACTTTTAAGTTTGTCCCCAGCAGAGTCGCCAGTTCTTTGATACGGTGGGAGAACTGACTTGGGTGTTTTGCGTTTTATTCCAATTGTTGCGGATAGCAAGAGTCGCCACCGACTTTTCTTTTATCCAATAAGGAAAGGCCGAAAAGAACAGGAAAGACCTTTCAAGATTATTTCTGAGTTCGAGGGGTAGATTATGAAAAGGGAAGGTGTTAGCACCCTTTTCATCCGTAGTTATCTACGGGCTCTCAGTTGCTTGCTAGATCACTTGCTTTTGTTTGAAAATATGCTTATGGTGTGGGTTTTGAAAGTATTTTGAAAATGTGACTTTGTAATGGCTCTCGTTTCTATAAGAACACGTACAAAGTGTTGTTTTAAAAATAGTTCAAAGAGGTGTTTGTGGAATGTGTTTTTGAAAGTGATTTTGAAAAGGTGTCTTTGTAATGGCTCTCGTTTCTATAAGAACGCGTACAAAGTGTTGTCTTTTGAAAATGTTTCAAAATGAGAGTATTTGTTGTATAAAGTGTTTTTGTTGTGAGCAAGCGAGCAACTAGGAGAAACCTACCTACTCAAAAGGTCTTTAGTGTTCTTTTCCTCTTCCTTTAGATGTTGCTATCTTACCATTATTTTTGTAAGAAGCCCCATCATTAGATGTGAAGGGATGAGCGTGAGACGTTTGTATAGTCATAAAAGGCAACCTATGGGACGTTTTAGCAATGTCGTTTTAGGGACTAGATCGTTTATCGAAGGCAACATCGAGGGTCATCTAGGGAATACAATCTTTTATCGAGGGTCTTTGCTAAAACGCCCATATTCGAGGGACATGACTATTTTTCCGAGGAAACAAGTGAGATTACCCTAAGGGTGCATTTTGTCTTGATTAGGGGTTGTCTACTTGTTGGTTTTATCTTGCCATACACACCTAATTAGTAACATTTGTACAAAAGTAATAAAAAGTGCAAAAAATAAATCCTACACTATTACAACCATATTGAAGTGCATATAAATATAAAGGCAAAAATAAGATAAAAAGAAGAAAAATGAGCTCCTTCGATTGGGGGGAAGCATCCTTCGATTATGCTTTTATTGACCTCCTTCGATTGGGAGGAAGAATCCAACAAGTCATGACCTTCGATTGGGCCCTGGCAGTAGCTGGTCATGGCCTTCAATTGGGCTTGTCAGCAGCTGGGCATGCCTTCTGGTTCTGCCTTGTTGCCTTCTTCGATTGAGACTGGCAGCAATAAGTTATAGCCTTTGATTCTGGCTGGACTTAGTGCAAGTGTGCCTTCTGATTCTTCCTTCTTCGACTGGGTTAGAGACAGTGAGGGAGTGCCTTTCGTCTGGGCCTACAGGTCAGTGTATTTGAAGCAAGTGTGTGTGTATGCTGAACATGTATGTATCGAAGCATGTGTATGCATTGAAGCAAGTATATCGAAGCATGCATATTTTGTATTCCAACATTTTTAGGGGACTGTACATATTAGTTCTTAAAGGAAAACAAAAAAGATTAACATTGAAGGCCATAATTATTACATGTTGGTTTAGAAGATGAATCAATAAGGATGTTTGAAATGAAAGAGTTAAAGTCAGAAAGACTTACCTCAAAGATGGTGTGTGGGCTTCGAACTTGAACTGCTACCTGGATGTTTCTGGAATTCGCAGAGTAGTCACAGGGAGTTTTCTTTTGGTTCGAAGAGTTGGCATAAAAGGTTGTCTTTGAGTTTGAACAAACTTCTACGTGTGGGATGTTCTTCAGAATTGAAAGAGGTGAGTGTTTGGGATTCTGGGTTTGCTTTCACAAGTGTTTAAGAACTTGAGAGTTTTGTTGTGTTTGAGAAAATGTGGGAGATTCGTTCCTCTGGTCCAAAGATCCTCCCTTAGCTTGGCCAAAATTCCTCTATTTATAGAGAAAAAGAATGGACATGTTTGTCCATAACGTGAAAGTACAAGTGGGAGGGCTTTTGGCAGTTGGGGTGCAGAAGATGTGACTTATGCTTCTGGGTCTGCTTTTCGTTCAAACAAAATTCAGGTTGGAAGTTGTTTTTGTGATAAAAGTACTCTCTATGAAAAGAAAGGGTATGTAGCCTTTTCCTATTTTAACCAAGAATGGTATTATCCAGTGGATAAACCTTCGAATCTTTGTGTAACGTATCAGAAATTTGTGTAAACCTATGATTATGTAAAGATTTGGAAGCAACATAGCCTGGAAAATGAGATTTGGTCTTGAGTCGAA